TGGGTTGTTACCGACATCTGGTGAAAATTTCATGTCATTAGCACCTCTAGTAATATATTTACTGAGAAAAATGCTGACGTGTTCAATACTTATTTTACCCGCTGTATATTTGTTAAAATGCAGCTTCATGTTGTTTCTTGTCTTAGCCTCAGCTTGTTCTCTTGCAAATCAATGTCCAGTGCTCTGAGTTGTRTCAGGAAGCCATGGTTAGGCAGGATACAGCGCTGCTGCCTCACGTGCTCGATGGCTTCCACTACGRTTAAACTCTGTTTCATCATCAGGTACGCCAACACCAATGTGGCTGACCTACTTCGACCCATCACACAGTGCACCAACACTTTGTCTGGGACAAAACAGAAACAGATGAACTCATTAGAATAAAAAAAAAATCAAAGCTTCAATTGTAATTTCCAGAATGTTTTTTTTTAAAGAGTAGGGTCTTCACTAGAACTTACTCTGTGGCTGGCTGAGGGACTCGTGGATAAATTCTGCTGCAGGGTAGAAGTACTGAGAGATGTTAAAGGTGGGTTTGTCATCGGCTTCTACACCGTAGTATTGAATGTTCATGCCGTTATAGTAATCAGCACCAGAAAGCACGTTATTCCACTTGCCCTCTGCTGCGTTTAGGACGTGTGTAACACCCAGATCCCTCAGACCGGGCCTCTRCAGAGCCGTTTTCCTGTTTTCAAGCATTTCACACATTTAACAAGAATCTGTTAATAGAAGCTTAAATGTATTTAAAAATCTCTACATTATGAAACTAACTCACTCATCGCCGACGTAGATCCTCGGCCACACCTCGTTGACGTGAGCATACCGAGCTGTGGAACCGGTCCAGAAGAGCTGCTCCAGGTCTAACGTTCCTGGTGTGATGTAATCGTTGTCCGGGTCCACCTGAACTGCTTCATATGGATTTCTGCTTCTAGGCTTCAGTGCACAGGAGGACATGATGCTCCTTTGTTATCCAGGAAAAAAACCACACATCCCAACAATAAAAGGAGAATCATAAGCAAGGCTACTAAAACACTACATGTGGAATTGGTTTTAAAAACACATGAAGGGTCATGAACTCTGAGCATTAGAGCAATGTGCAAACTTTTTTCATCTGTAAACCAAGAAATGTTTCCATTGTAGCAGAACTACAGCAGATACAAAGAAGCCATCAGTGACATACTTTAGATATGTGAAATTTGATTTAGCATCGCCGACAGTGACCCTGACCTGTGCTGTTTGAATTCAAAGGTTGTATTTTATTTTTGATATTGTGTCTATGAAGGAATTAGGACGTTAATATTTCCAGAGGTCACATAACTTCAACTTTTAGAGTTGCCATAGTTAGGCTYTCATTCTAAAACTTCAAGTGCCTGACTCAAGGCGTTTAAAGAAAAAGAAACCAAGAAACACGTTGCAGGAAAAAAGTGTTCTTACCTCTTTCAGATTAGTTCCTCAGCAGGAAGTGTGCCCATGCTTTCCTTTGAAAACATATGAGTTTATAAATGTATCAACCGAGATTTTATTTATTTATTTATTTATATACACAGAAGGCATGAAGACTAACAGATCTGAAATAGAGACTGTTCTCTCTGTCTCTGTGTTTAGGATGATATTTTTAGGCAGCTGGGCTATTTACCACCTGACCTGGACAACGTGACAGACATACACACCCTGAGAGATATAAAAATGAATCTTAAAGAGCCTGTGYCATCATTTTTTTTGTAACAAACATGAATGCATTTTTGGAAAGATAACAATTACAATATGTATTACAAAACAAATTTCACGCCGCTGAGATGAACAGTTGTTGAGATATTTGCATGTGAAGAAACAGGAAGTGATGTCAAGGGGGAATTTCTGCATGTGAACAGAGTATTGCTACAACAGCTAACAACCCAGACTGTAGAGAAGAATCTGATGTTTCTTTGCATTATTTTTGAGTCTCTTTCAATGAGAGATGAAGAAGATTTAAAGTTTAAATAATTTTGTTTTAATAAACAAAAACCAGAGAGTTTATATTATTAATGAGTTCCCCTTTGATGTCACTTCCTGTTTCACTTTGGCTGAGCCAAATTCAAAAGAAAATATGCCAATTATGTGACAAAATGGATAAAATAAACTGTACTATGCCAATTTTCTTAAGTATAAAGATGTTTTCTTTGACTTTTTGTACTTAAAGGCTAGGCATGTCACAGGCACTAGTGTCATTGCCTTTTCAAGTCCTTTAATGTGTGCAAACAGGCCGTGATCTGTCTAAACTTAAAGGATTATTAATGTTATTGCAGCACTAATGATCCACACCATGAAATGTATCATGAAAGTTCTATAACAGACAGAAACAACCCACTCATGTTCATTATCGGGACATGTTGACATTCTCTCGGACTCATTTGCTCCGCTGGAGGCTCAGCTCCAGCTGTCTGAGCTGCTCCAGAAATCCAGAGTTCGGTCCGATGTCTCGGTTCAGACGCACCGCAGTGATGGCCTCCGCTAACGACAGGCCCTGGCAGAGCATCAGGAAGGCCAAAACCAACGCTCCAGAGCGGCTCACCCCCATGGCGCAGTGAACCAGCACCTTTCCTGAAAACCACAACAGAAGTATCTGTGACCGTCTGTTGACAGCACCCGTGTATGGAGTTCCATTTGTGCCAAAAATATGTTGTTGAGCCTTTGTCCATGTTCTTATACCTTGTGTTGACACATAACATCGTTTTGTATTGTCTCACTCACCATTTGTCTCCAGAGCGCTGTCTATAAACTGTGCAGCAGAGCTGAAAAAAAGCTGAAGATTGAACTCGGGATGGTCTGCAGCTTCTACACCGTGGTATACGATTTGCGTGTCAGAGTAGAACTGCTGACCCGTGTTGATCCGGCGTCGACCTGCTGCAGCGTTCAGCACGTGAGTCACACCCAGAGATGAGAGAGTGGCTTTGTCTCGTGCAACAGACCTTCAGACGCCACAAACAGATGTTTCATTCTTAACTTATTGCCTTGTTTCATGTTCCTGAAAAAGTGTTTTCTACTCACTCATCTCCAACGTAAAGGTTGGGCCAGACTTGATTGACAGGTGCCACAGGCTTCCTGTTTGTCCAGAGAATTTCCCTCAGCTCTGTCAGGGATGGTGTTTCCCCCTGCTCACCTAAATGCTCTCTGTAGCAAATACAGATGTCTTGTGTGTCTGGGTGCGTGTGTTTGCCTGTATTTATGTTGAAGTCGTGGTGTCCGAGTGTCTTTTACAGTGCCTGGGCCTGTCTCTTTCTCCTCCGCTCCCTCTCCAGGCTCATGTCGAGGCTGCGAAGCTGCTGCAGGAAGCCGGGGTTGGGACAGACGTCTCTGTGCCGTCTGACGGCAGCCGCCGCCTCCTGCAGCCTCAGGCCTTCGACGATCATCAGGAAGGCCAGAACCAAGGTTGCAGAGCGGCTCACGCCCATCAGACAGTGAACAAACACCCGTCCTGGGACAGAGATGTTACATTCAGCATCAGGAATGCAGCAAACGTAAACACTCAGATTCTCTCTTTATGTATTTAAGCACTCAAAGCATCTGGGGTTTAGCTCTGGATAATACAAAAGGTGACGTGTATAAATGCAACACAAAGTGTGCAGACTTGCCTCCCATGGCCAGTGCAGCTCTGATGTAACGTGCTGTCGGATAAAAAAAAGGGCTGAGGATGAAATCTGTCGCATCGTCAGCCTCCACCCCATAATAATCCAACGTCATGTCTCTGTAGAAACGAGGGCCGGTGCTGACATGGAAACCYTGTCCAGACCTGGAGTTGAGGGGTCCATGGGCAGCATTTACAATGTGTGTAATGCCCAGGCTGTGGAGAGCGCCTTTGTCACGAGCTGCAGCCCTGAAACATGATTTCATTACCTGAGTTGCAACTAAGTTCAAATACTACTGTACTTAAGTAGAATTTTTGCGTATCTATTTACTTGAGTAATTACTTTTCAGCCTATTTTCTACTTCTGCTTCTTACATTTTCACACAATTATCTGCACTTATACGCCTTACTATTTTTTTTTTTTAAAAAGGGCAAGAAGTAGAAAATGTAGGGGTCACCCCAGGGGGAATAAACATTTCCATCTGTCTTTGACTCTGGTCTCAGAAGACCTTCCTCAAAAGAGACATTTTATTTTCTTTAATAAACAAAATAATCATGTTCTTTATATTTTTGATTTATACTTTCTTTTAACTACACGTTATTATCATTTTATAAATCAAAGTTACATAATGAAAAGAATGACAATCTAGTCCGCTATGGCAAATGCCCTAGACTAAACTTCCATTCTTCCTGTAACTAAACCTAAAGTCGAGGCCATGTCCCTAGTTTTTCTCTTTAGAAACTAACCCTGACATGAAGCCCTCGTCGGAGAGGAAAAGAGAAAAAAAAAAAGACAGAAGAGGACACCATCTTGAGCTGTTTTTCCTCTGCAGGAGAAATCAGCATTTGGCAATCAGATTTGACTGTTTGCTAAAGAGCAAACCCTTTGCCTATAGGCTCACGATAACTTCAATCGTGATCCAAAAGCTTTGAKGCTCCATTAAGTTTTATTTCAAAACTTCTGATGAGAAGTATTTTATTTTGAAGAGYAAGCCAAACTGGATCTGGCTCACTCAGTCGTTACTTTTATTTCATTTTTGCTTGTTTTCCTTCCAGCTTCTTATCATAAAAAATAAATACTATCCATATAAATTGTGCCTCCTATAGAATGAATTTAATTGTGGTTGAATGAGAAATATAAATATATAAAATTCTGATACTGTATTAGTTTATACACAAACAAATCATGTCACACTGCAGCAGGACATAACCGTTAAAATAAAAGGACTGTACTTAAGAAGTATTTGTTTTTCTTGAATTATATAATTGCATTRGGTCTGCAGCCCTTGGATAGATTTTTATTTTGGGGAAAAGGTTTGGGCAGCCTTGATATATGTATATAAACTGAAACAGCTTGAACTTAACATAAATTAATTATTTTAATACAACATAGTCATTTCTGCATTTTTGTGGGGAGGTCACCTCCCCTTACAGAAAATCTAACTGCTCATTTTAAATCAATACTTTTACTTTTAATACTTAAGTGCAAAAACTATCAGATACTTTAAGACTTTTACTCAAGTAATATTCCTAAAGGAGACTTTAAGTTTTACCAAAGTAATTTTTTGGTAAGATACTTGTACTTTTACTCATATCACTTTGTGATAATTTATATAACACTGTTCATTACTGATTCATACATGTGCACAGACTCATGCATGTTATACGAGCACCTACTCGTTGCCTATGTAAAGGTTTGGCCAGACTTCGTTGACATGTCCGGTCGGTCTTCTGTTCGCCTGCAGGAACTCCTGCAGCTCTGAGACCGATGGTGGATCATATGGAGGATCCCTAAGAGACATACTGTACAGACACACAATAAGATTCAAAGGAACTTATCCCAGAATGTTTTTTTTTTTTCATACTTGAAAAAATGCCCAACAGTAATCCTCAAAGTCACAGATGACACATTTATAAATGAGCCATAACAAACTTGTTTCCACTKTAAATCACACAAGTCTTACCTCAGTGCAAACACTTCTCCTACACGGCTTCTTCTTACATCAAGCAACAAACGTCTGCAGCTTTTTATAACTGTAATCACACACTGGCAACACACTCTCCCTGCAGTCCTCAGCAGCAGCCAGGACAACTTAAAACATATTCAAACTGCAGGTCTCAGGTCTTATGTGCAGCAGTCATGTGAACTTTAACACGAGCTTGTCCTGTTTTCATGACCATGGGCTTTTTGGTAACATACTATTCTACAAGTTATTACTCTAAAACATAGGTGTTTTAATCTAAAATAAAATTATTAGCTATACTTTATTCAGTGGCAGATCCAGGATTTTTCAGTGTAAGGGGCCATCAAGGGGCCACAATATTTATGGAGGGGCCAAGTATTTGTTCAACATCCTTGCACACAAATCCCGTTTTTGTAAGGTTTATACATTTAATCAGTCACACGTGTTCAAAACACTTGTTAAAGCTTGCACAAATTATCCTTATCAATTTTACATGATTTTTTTTACTGTACATTAATAAAAATAATAATAATAAAAACTTTTTTCTTCAATTAAACTGACTTTCCTATTTGACTCACTAGCGCCACTAGTGGTTGGAACCGGAACTGCAGCCACCTTCATTGTTTTTGGGCAAGGACAGATGAGTGTAAGGACAGGGCACTTCAGGGGGACAATCAGATGGGGCCAATGCTCCTGTGGCCCCGCCCCTGACTTTATTGGTGTTTACATGTGCTAAGATTAAAAAATAATCACTTTATTGTAAACATTTCAACTCAATTATTCATGTCCTTCAGTTTATATCTGTAGCATTGTTTTTTTTTTTTTTGGTAATCTACTATAAACGGTTAGAATTATTTTAAAGGCAACAAAAATAAATAAATAAAATAATAAATAAAGTGAAATACTGAACAAGAGGTGAAGAATCAAATTCAGTTTTATTTTCTGCAGAAACCAGTTTCCCCTCAGTGATGGGTAACTTTAGTATCACCGAGTTCAGAAATATTAAGTCACATAAGGCTTTTTGGTGTGTCCGGACTTACAAAGAAACAGCCTAAGAAATGGAGACAGCACATTTTTATGACAAGCAGGACATTTTCAAAAAAACTCTTAATTTAATAACTGCACAAACATTTGTCTAAAGTCCTGACTACAACGATACTTAGAGTCGTTATATTCAAGTACTCAGAATTGCACAGATCAAAATGTGACAAACTTAATAAGCATTTGAAATGTTTGGCCCTTTAATAAGTTACCCTCCGTGTGGCTTTTTCCTGCAGCTTACTCCGATCTTACACTTGTAACGGAAATTAAACCTTTAGGCCATTTTCTTTATACCCACCAATGTTGGCACACTCACAAATTCAAGGGAAAAATCAACYCAGGTGACGTTTGTTTTAATGCCCACTGACAAAACGCTTAAAAACACTTTTTTAAAATACTAGTCCAACATACTTCCTTGTTTTTCTACCACAGATGTTCCTTCCAGAGTTRTCTGCAAATAAACACAGAATCGACTCACAAACTATAGAGCAGGTTAAGTTTTGAGGCTCGACGATCAGAAAAAGCTGCATCATAGTGCTGACTCAGCATAACAAACCACGTTTTGTGACTCTGGAAGTTTGGGTTTCGTTCATGTAGAATAAATAAAGATGGCATTTAATTGCTGAACAGAATCTATATATGAGCTACACACACACACACACACACACACACACACACACACACACACACACACACACACACACACACACA